GTACGTACATGCACATACGCAAATAAAATTGTGTATGTTATATGTGTGTCTAGATAATATTTAAAATTGTAAAGTAGAGAATGAGCATATCACATTTTACAATTTTCATCATTCATAAAAAATAAACGACACAAATATAAAGTATTGAACTTCTATATATATAAATCTTTATACTGATTGCAATAATATCAAAAGCAATACAATAATTTGACATTTGACAAATTGATCAAATATGGTGCATTAGTCACCTAGATAAAATTATGACGCAAACAGTATCAAAAGATACAATAATTTGACAGTCAAATTATTGTATCTCTTTTAATATGACCCAGATGAGTGTCTCTTGTTTTGTACAACTCAATACGGAGTATTTATTTTTTTCAAACAAAAAAATGGCATCGCCCAATATATATATACATATATATATATATACATATATATGTGTGTGTGTGTGTGTGTGTGTATGTGTGTGTGTGTGTGTGTGTGTGTGGTAAAACATGACTGTTGGGCTAATTATATTGTGAGCAAAAGTGAAAGTATGAAATCATACTACTGACTAAGCTTATAAATCATCTTAAGGCTATAAGACTATGTTTGATAGACAAATAAGCTAGCTTATAAGCTCCTGGTATTCAAATAAGCCTCATTTTTAGTAGGACGAGCTTATTTGATAAGTTTTTTTAGGTAGCTTTTCAAATAACATAGTTGAATTTTTTATTCTAGCTAGCTTATCAGATAATTCCACCAAACACTTTTATCATATAAACTAGTTTTCAGCTATAAGCTAAAAAAATACTGATAAGCTAAAAGCTAGCTTATCAGCTAGTTCCACCAAACATAACCTAACTTATCAACTAGTTTTAACAAACATAACAAAGAATTTCAAAGAGCTTATATATATAAGTTCTTAGACACATCTATTAATATATAAAGAGACAATGATATTTACTTGAAATAACAACTAAAAATCAGCCAAAAGAAACATTTGATTTCCCACCTAAAAAATTACTACATTTAGTAATATTTTTTGACAAAATTTGAAAAATCCCTCCTAAATTAATGTAATTAATGTACAGAATCATTTAGGTCAAATATTGCAGTTATTACCTTTATTAGTTCCATGATTTAAATTTGAAATATAATATATGGACAAAACTTGCAGCTATTATCTTTATTAGTTGTATGGTTTAAATTTGATATATAATATATTAAAAAAATAAAAATATTTTTATTTAAAAATAAAAAAAAAAAAATTATTCATAATTTGCAGGTCAATATTAAATTAAATTAAACGTAAACGAAATAGTCAACATTTTGTAGTTTAATAATTTACTCAATAACTTACGAGTCAAAATTAACTTGGACGTAAGCGAAATAGTTAATTATTTATAGTTTAATATATTACCCAACTACTTAATTTTTCTATTTGAATAATTTATACAAAAGTAAATAATTTTAAGTAATGAAACAATATAAATTATATGATTATACTTATTATTCACATAGGTTGTTAGATATATTATAACATTTTACCAAAATAACTATTTTATGGAATCAGATTATAGTCTGATCGAATTTCTGAATAAAATTTTTGAAATGATACTTATTTTGAAACGAATATAACATGATTTATTATCAGTTATCTGCACCACACATGTCGTGTACTAATATTAAATAGACATTTTTATGTAATTTTGTACAATTTAAACTTTATATACATGTTAAATAAATTAGAATAGGTAATTGTATTATTTATTGATTCTATATTTTTAATTTATAAATATTAGTGAATATCTCTTACATGTGCACTGTCGGGACTCATACTAGTATAGGTTATTATAAGTTTTTAAACATCTTAACTAAAAAAAAAAAAAATGTTTTAAAAAGCTTATAAGTTCTCCCAAACACGTTTGATGGTTAGCTTAATTTATTCACTCCATAACTAATTAGCTTAATTATTTATTACATATTGAATTGGTTTCACATTGAGATTATTATTCTTCGCTCCAATCATACCTTCTTATCATATCATATCAATTACAAGAAACAATTCAGTGAATTATAATAGGAAAACAGCACATTATGAGATGCTAATTTCGCCCCATACCTTTACTCGATAAGATCAATTTAACATGCAATGCCTTCAGTGATTCAGGTTACCAAATGCAGCTATATATATACACTTAAACATATACAATTTACTTTCCATTATTTTTTATTTAATTTTATTTTATTTTTATTTAATGAAGGCAATGATGAATTTTATGGGCTTATTTGTTATTGTTATGCTGCTAGTGATTTCAGTCGAAAATAATAATGAAGTAATTTGGGTTGTGAAAGGTGATGATGATCATAATGGAGAGTATCACATAACATGGGATGATTTGACTTTGAGTTCCAACAATGGCGGAGGTGGTGGTGGTCAGGCTAGAATCATCGTGGTCGACAAAAACGGCGGCGGCGATTCTTCGACCGTGCAAGGCGCGGTCGACTTGGTGCCGGAGAATAATCCTTGGAGAGTGAAAATCCACATTCTCCCCGGAGTTTACAGGTTTGACTTCTATTTTTTTTTTATTATTAATTAATAAACCAATTAATAAAATAAATCTTCATCCTTAAAAACATGCTGCAGCGAAAAGGTGCATGTCCCGGCATCGAAACCGTTGATATCGTTCATCGGAGACGAAGATAAGAGCTCCGAAACAGTTATAACATGGCACGACAAAGCTTCGGACAGGGGCAACAATGGAAATATGTTGGGGACCGAGAACACGGCCACCGTGAATGTCGAATCCGACTACTTTTGCGCCTCAAGTGTCACTTTCGAGGTAATCAACCCAAAAAAAAAAATAACAATAATTATTATAACTATTAGTTTTTCTAAATTTAATCATTGGGAAAAATTGAATTTTGTATCTGTTGGCTTAACACCGTAACAATTTTAGTCCAAAAGTTTCAACTTTTTGGCTTTTGATCATATGATTTAAGACTGAAACTGCAATAAATTTGTAAACGTGACTAAACTACAACAAAATTTTAATTATAGGACTTAAGTCGTTAAAAAAAAATCTATAAATTTAAAAATTTGTTGCAATTTTAGTCCGGACTGAAATTACAGTAAAATATTAAATCACAGGACTAAGAGGAAAGATGATAGAATCTTGGGATTAAAAATGCTATTACGTTCAACCAGCAGAGTTTAATCATTTGTTGGTCTTTGCAGAATTCAGTAGTTTGTACGGCCATCGAAGGATGCCAAGCGGTGGCCGTGAGAGTAGCTGGTGATAAAAGCGTGTTTTACAAAGCCCGATTTCTTGGCTCGCAGGACACGCTTCTGGACGAATATGGGGCCCACTTTTTTCTCCAGTGTCTTGTGCAGGGCTCAGTGGACTTCATATTTGGCTTTGCAAGGTCACTCTACCAGGTGGTCCATTACTACTATCTTCACCCTAATTTCAAATTTGTAAATTATTAGAGACTTATTATCAAGTTTGATACAGGGCTGCACCATATCTGTGGTGGGGAATCCGTACACGATAACGGCACAGAGCAGAGGCTCGGCAAACGAAAATACGGGCTACTCGTTCTTGAACTGCACGTTGACTGGAAACGGGCCCGTCTACTTAGGCCGAGCCTGGGGAGACTATTCGCGCGTCATATTTGCTTATAGCGAGTTCGATTTAGATGTATTCCCCGATGGGTGGAGTGACTGGGGAGTTCCATCTAGGGACAGGTACGTGCTAGAATAAGATTGGATAGCATTCCTTAACCAAACTTATCCAGTGTTTACTAGCCGTGATCGGATTGAAATAAATCCTATGTGTTATGTATGTGGCAATTTGGCACACGCATCTTCTCATGACTGGCTAGATAATTTTATCACATCTTGAGAGTGGAATATTTTTATACCAACACAAAAATGACTTTTTGGTCCAAAAATCACATGTATAATGTCCATTATACCCTTGAAAAATAATTACAGATTTAGTAAAGTTGACTCGTGGGACAGAAACTGACTCATGGGATTGCAATCCTGTCACATTTCTATAAGTAAACGAGACCATGAAATAGTTTTCGTTGTATAACCTTGTTCGGCATTTCTTACTTTGGTTACGATTATTATTGTAATTAATATATTTTTTTTTTCGGAGCGTTTGCAGTACGGTGGTGTTCGGAGAATACAAGTGCAAAGGCAGGGGAGCAAACCGAAGAGGAAGAGTTTCTTATGCAAAAGAGCTGAGTGATGTGGAGGCAGTGCCTTATCTTAGTACAACATTCATAAGTGGGGAGTTCTGGCTAAGACTCTAGTCTCCTCACAACTTACTCTTTGTTCAATAATTTTGTTCAAGTTTAAATGTTTTGTTCCCTCTTTAGTACCATCACAACCTAAATTACTTATTATTATCTCATCCCTCTAGTTTTAAAAGTTGTTCCATCTCTAGTATCCTCATCTCTTTTGAATTTTCTCAAAATTATTAGTTTAGGTTGGTAAGTAAAAAATTAGGCAAACTTCAATTGATTACATTTTTTTCCCTTTTTAGTTGGATGATGTTTTGGAAGTCTAAAGATAACACTTCTATCCGTCTGTACTATTTTAAAAAGACGAGTGATTTTGTAAAAAATTAAATCGACTAAATAGTTTTTTGTGTTTGTTATATAATTTTAATGGTTAAAAAAGACCTGATACTACTACGTGGATATGATAATTACACGTAAAGATAAAAACTAGTAAACAATAAATATAAATCGTTGTCATAAAAGGAGAAGTGGTTTTGTGAAAAATGAACCGACTAAAAAGTCTTTGTGGCACCATTATAATTATAATTGCTTAAAGATATAATCTATTAAAAAATAAATAATTTTGCTTGTTATATCAAATATTCCATTAAACACGGTATGACTCCGAACATGATTGACAAATGCCTTAAATAATTTATAATATAATATTTTTAATAAAAATAAAATATAAATAACCAAAATGTAATTTTCATCTCATGTAGTTTCGGTGATTATTTACAAAGTTTATGAAGTTTTATAATTTATTTTGAAAGACACTTAGAATAAGCACATGAGGATAAGCTAATATAAACTTAGTGCACTATTTAAAACTCAACTGACATACTTAATCAACTAATCAACTAGTACAACGCTCGTGTATTACACGGGTGCTTGCTATTTTTTTTCTTAAACTCTAAAATTAAAGAGAAAAATTAATTGAAATTTTCAATACCTTTTATAAAAATATATATATTATAATATATTTAGCATGACATTTTTTTATTTGTACGACTTACCTGTGTTATATTATAATTTTTTTTGACTAATCACAACATATAACTACATTAAACATCAATATATCAGTTGAGAAATAATTTTATTTTTTTAATAAATTTAAATAAATATTATTATTTTTTATTATTATAAAGATAAATATGATTTATTTATTTCATATATACAATATGGATGTCAAATCGAAGATCATCAAAAGATGATTAATTTGATATATTATATATGTAAAACTGATAAGAAGTACAAAAGTTATCAAAATTTTAATATACATTTACAATTCAATAGATAATTGAAGGAAACAAATCAAAAGTCAGGTACATATTAGTTAATTAGTGTCTCACTATGTAAAATTACAAAGAATTAAAGGGTTATATTAGTAAAAGTGATATTAAAATACCTAAGTTAGCTAAATAATATTTATGGAATGTCCGAACCTAGATTATTAATTATTAATATATCAATATTATTTGTCCAAACCTAATTACGAAGCATGATTCTTCGCCAAGTAGGATTCCAAAGCACCAGAAACAGCCACGTAGGCTCAGCGCATTCGGGAATAATATATAGGGAGGATTTTGTTATTGAATTTCACATTTACTTGTGTGTCGATGTTAGCGTAGCAGTTTTGCTATGGAGCCATCGGATGACACGACTTATGCAGTTATCCACACTTATTTATAAATATTGTGTTGACATGTGTCCTACAATAAATATAGTTTTGACATGTGTCAATACATTAAGTGATGGATGGCTCCATAAGAAAACCATCCAATGGCTCCATAGAATTTCTGGTTTAGCGTATATTGTAGAAGCTCGACTTTGTGTTACGAACAATTCCATTTTGAATGAGATTCAATTTTTAGTATGTTTCTATTTTATTTATTAATGCGAAAATGGTTTCTTTATTTTACATTGTAGATAACATAGTTAGATGTGTCGAACATAAACATCATATTATCGGTGCCTTGCAGAATATAAATTATTGGTTCACAACCTAGATAGAATTGAACTAACTATCGTGAACGGTTGTAGTGTAATTTTGGAAATCAGTTGATCTTTGACTAATTATTTAAACTAGTATATTTCTAATGTACTGAATGGACCTTAGAGGATCAAATTATTTTATACTGACCAAGTAAATAATCTAGACTTCAGTTATTGCCAAATTCTCTTGACCCGTGAGATAATAATCGGCCATATGTATTTGGTTTTTATTTATAAAATTTGCCAAAGAGTGAGACTTATGATAAATTGATAGCCTCAGTTTGTTGGTCAATAATTCTTATTACATGATGTGTCATTATTTACGGTCACTGTGTTACTGTGCGCCGAGTTTATGACGTCCCCAAAATGTGATCACGAAGAATTATTATGTCAAGCTCTGTACGCGGATTGAATTTCGTCATAATAATAAGGAATTGAGTAGTACTAATTTCAAATAAAAAAAAATGGTTATTATGTTGTAATTAATTACATTACTCAATGGGCGTTAGAACTTATACATGGGGTGGTAAATCGAGCAAATAAATCTGGAGATGAATTATTTATATTTTTGGATTAAATTTAAAGTTCAATAATATTGAGTTAGGGGAATTGAATATTATCTAAGTGTAAATGGTGTACGTAGACTAGGACCTACAGTTGCGTTCACACTTGAAAAATTCTTATTTAACACCTCTTTTGGGTCCTTGTTGTAGCGTATAAATACATTAAGTTCCTAAGTATCTCACACCATAATTCACGAAAAAGTTCATAAATCTCAAGCTATTTTTTGGCAAAAAAACAATGAGAAAGAGAGAAAAATCATGAGAAAAATTGAGATATCTAGGAAAGAAAATCGAAGACAACTTGGTCTTCTTTGTTCTTCCGAAAAATTAATAGAACATAGGGTCTAGGAGATCTGACGATTCGCTCAACCAGGCGTACTCGGAGAAGTGATCGGTCTTACGGCATGAGGCTTAAAGGTGCCCCATTCGTTCGGTCTCATAGACCGAGCAAGTCGTCTCAGAGTCGACACTAATTTTAAACCATACGTTATTCTTAATACTAACTCTATATCCGCTACACTAGGTTGAAACTTTTATGAATTCATTTGTGAACGACGATTGGCGTCTTCATAAAACCCAACAGTCAAAACTCAACTACGAGCATTATCTTAGTATTACGAACTAGTTCAAATTTTAATATTTATATATAATTACATAACTGGTAATAATTGTATGTATAATGTTTTAAATTTAATCCATTTTTGTGAATATTTTCAGTTGGAAATTGAATGAGTTTATTGTGTATAATGGTTATGCATGAATATGAAGGCATGACGTACACGAAATATGATTGTTCGCGCAAGTCATAAGCAATGAAGGTGCAAAGCACCGACCCATAGCCTTTTGTAAGATCGGTAATGAGCAGTATATATGTGGTCTAGACTAGTATAATTGTTTACTTGCGGTCTAGGAGTCATGTCATCTTTTCCGTGGGATCGGTCAAAGATTTCTTGCAGATTAACTCGTATCGCGTTTTTGCATAGTGAGTCGGGCCTATACCGTTTCCCACGAGTTTTTCTGGAGCCTCTTGTGAGTTGGAACATATTTTCTCACAAAGTTGAAATTTTTAGGCAGAACAAGTTTGCGTTGTTTCTCTTGTAATTTTTGAATTTTCATATTTTCTTTGCAAAGATTGATTTGTTTAGGCCGATTAGGCTTGTGTGAGGTTTAGAATTTTTAGACGGATGTCGTCTCTTAAACTTTAGGAAAACCGAGTTATATGTTGTTTTTCGGCAAAATTTACTTTGACTGGGAACTTTAGGCTTCCGCCGTTTCTCCCGTGAAAGTTAGGACTTCAGATGGGTTAGGCCTTATGATGGATTGGGCGTACGCCGTTCCTCTCTGTGAAGTTAAATGTAGGCGGACTGGGCTCATGTCGTTTCTCAGTGAATTCAAACTTTTAGGCGAATTGGGTGTCGTTTCTCCGTAATGATGAATTTTTTAGGAGAACTAGGCTAACACGTTTCTTAAATAAGGCAAATTGGGCATTATGTCATTTCTTTGCAAAGTTAAAATTTTTCGGGAAATTAGACTTACATCGTTTCTCAAATTTTTGGTGGATTGGGCATTTTATCGTTTTTCTGTGAACTTTAGTTTAGCGGGTAGATTAGGCTTACACCACTTCTCTGTGCAAAAGTTGGGACTTTAGACGGGTTAGGCCTTATGCATCTTGTACGCGAGGAGTTAGAAATTCATACGAATTAGACATACGTCGTTACTCTCCGTGAAGTTAACTGTAGGCAGACTGGGCTTATGTCGTTTCCCAGTGAATTCAATAAGCGGATTAGGCTTACACCGTTTCTTCGCAAAGTTATAATTTTTAGGTGAATTAGGCTTACGCCGTTCCTTAACGCTTAGGCGAATTGTATTTGTGTTGTTTTTGAGTGAACTTTAGTTTGAGCGGGTAGATTAGACTTACGCTTCTCCGTGCGAAAGTTGGGACTTTAGACGTGTGAGGCCTTATGCCACTTCTACACGGAAGGTTAGAACTTCATACAGATTGGGTGTACGCTATAACTCTATGTGAAGTTAACTGTAGGCAGATTGGACTCGTGTTGTTTCTCGGTGAAGTCAAAACTCTCGGTGGATGGGTCTTACATCGTTTCTCTTCAAAGTTAATGTTTTTTTAGAAGGATTGGGCTTACGTCGTTTTCCTAAATTTTAGGCGGTTTGGGCGTTATGCGGTTTTTATGCTTAGTTACCCTTTTGTGTTGATCACATCGAAATGTGTGTCTGCGTCAAAATCGAATGGTTTCACTGGTTGTTAGTGGTGTTGGAAGATGTTAAATCTTGTTTAGGCCCCTGGCTCTGACTTCCGGCTCGAGTTCCTCGTGAGGGTCGATCGCTTCGTCGATAAAATTGTCTATCATCGGGTTGGAGGGAGGAAAATTGTTTAGGCTCGTGCTTCCTTATGATGATTGCTAGCACCGATTTGTTTTGTTTATAATATACCAGATATGTGTACAAACAATT